TCTTCATATTGATATAAATGTTAGCGTCGAAACTGAGATTCTGTCCTATCTAAAATCCGCCTAGAGGCGAATCTAGGATCTGAGAATGAATGCATCTAATGTCGGATTAGAAAGGGTGTTGTATTTAAAGCTGGAATTTGTCTCTGGATCAATGTTAGATTCGGATTTTGATTGATCAATTTTAATGAAGTGATGAATTCTCAATGTATACAAGTGTCATTTGATCGACTAAACTCAGATCCGTAAAGTTATGATCGATTTTATAAAAAAAAATAAAAAGGTCAGACTTTATGAATAACGGTCCATAGCTGTTCGACAATGAAATTTGGATTTTCATCGCTGATTGTAATAGCGGAGAAGCCATGGCTTTGTCACAGCCTGTCAACAAGAATCAGAATATGACATGGATTCAGCGACTAATCCAAGTTTTAAATAAAACTTTTTTCCCAATCCAATATTGGATGGAATCTCAATTTTGACACTCACATATACATAGTGTGATTACTGATATAACCTTGAAAGGGTGACTTTTCTCCAAACTAAGATGGAAGTCTGCCTTGAAATACTTATGAAATGCAGTGAAAAGCGAAAAATGATTTCAAAAACTGCTTTTTCTTGTTTTCTTTCTTCTATATCGACTTTTAGTAGATGAAGTTAAACGAAAACTAACTCTTAATAAAAGACAATTCGAAGCTAGTTGAGAAAACATCTAGAAGATTGTTCTTATACCTATGAATGTACCTTTTTTCGAGTATGAAGGACGTTTATTCAACTTTATTGTAGCCTTATGGCTAAAGGACATTTCTAAGATCTAGTGTATCTTGTTTAGAAGATATTTCAGCATATATTTTGGATTTTCTGATTAGAGAACATATCCAACTGATAACTTGCGTTCAAACTCATATTGTGATCATAGGTAGGGCCTATAGTGTAGATAGAAACCCTAAAAGGATTCGTGCCAATGCTGCTGTATTTCAGAGAAACAAAGGCAACAAGTTTCTATAGAAACGGCATTTTAACCATATGTATTGAAATGACGTCAATATATTATATTTTCCATATATCTTGGCTTAGGAAAATGATAAAGGGTGTGAGTGTAGGTATAAGATGTGAGTGTTTTCTCTAAGCTACACTCACATCCACATCACACCCACACCCACCCACACACCCTTTGTCCAAGTGTACCAGATGAGATAACGAAAGATGTCTTCTCTATGTTTTTATTGAGCATTTGTATGTAGTCTTCTGTCGTGATGCAAATCTCTACTTTATCGACAATACTTTGCAAGTGTGAGAATGTATGTTGACAATCTTCATTTTCCATATTAATGGTTGCATCAGCCCATATGACTAAAAAGTTTTCAGTCATATGTTACCTTCATTGTCGACTCATTTTCGATGTAATATTTAATAAGTGATATAGACAGAATTTATGTTTTTGTATTTATACATTTGATGTACGGTTTATTTTTCTTAGGATGCCAAGTGTAAATACTTTGTTTTTTTTCGTCGTTATTCAATAACAGCCTATACCTAGTATTAATCAAAGGTATGCTTTCAAAAAAAAAGTTAAAAGGAAAAGAGCGATCAACACGATTCATGATATGATTATTTTATTCTCATTTTCATTTGCGTAGCATGTGAATCGTAACTAAGCGTTAGTGAAGGTACTCATACGGTAGTACTCAAAGAGTATTCACGCTAGAAAATGTCACGAGTACTCGTGAGTACTCATAGGGTTTGAGTACTCATTAATAGTACTCGTGCTAGGATCTGAGTATATGAGTACGACTAACGAGTATTCATCGTGTAATAATGCCTATTTCATGAGTACTCCTATCTAGTTTTTGTGTACTCTGCAGGTCCATGTAAAATACTCATAAGCGTATTTTTGCACTAGTACTGTTGTACTACATCGATTTTTATTTATTATTAAACTATTAGCAAAATTTACAGTCACACACCATGGAACTTTGAAAAAAAAATAATCAAAACGAGACCCACGAGACTGACTGTCAGCTTCATGTGCTTTGACTAAATGAATATAGACAGAAATCTTCATTATGTACGAACTATTTCCTATATCTTTATAAAATGAAAATACGATTATATTGATTCTTTCTTTTTTTCGTTCAATACGTTAAAAACATCGTATTTTCATTATATATAAGTAAAGAAATATCCAACTAGCTTCAGTCACAATCGAAAATTTTTATCTATACCTTAAATGGTGAGAACAAAACGAAACACCGACGGAATATAATACACACAATGATCCAGAAAAAATAGAAAATGTTTTACTCATAATGAGAAATAACAGAACATATAAACGTACAATGTTGCTTACTATTACAAAAAAATGTTGAACTGATATCTTTAAACTCATAACCATTTACATTCACATGGTAGTTCACAAAAAAATAAAAAAATAAATAGGAAAAAAAAGTCATTTTCTAATATTGCAATTATTGTTTTTAACAATTTCGTTAGTTAATTCCTCATTCTACGACATTTCCCAATAAATCAGACAACCTTATTTTAGTAGAGAACAATGTAATCTGAAATGATAAAATATGCTTAATGCGAGTCTACATAAATATATATAAAAAACTTCAGTCTTGATGAAGAAGTCAACAACTGAAAATAAAAAGTCATTTTTCTTTTCTGATTGAAAGTCATCAATCATTTCAGCCGTATAAACGAGTCGTCAAAAAGTTGAGAATCAAATCGATTAACTATTAAAACATATTTTTTACCATTTGTCAGCTAATTACGTCATTCTCTTTAATTAAATAATTTCAATTTATTTTTGTATATACTAGTGCATAAGTGTCCCGTTAAATATTCTGCGATAAACGACCATGAGTATTAAATTGAGTACTCATGCATCTGTCATTGCACAAATCTTTAAGTAAAAACTCGTACGAGTACTCATTAGAGTACACGAAGAGTATACCTACACATTAAAATCCTCGAGTATTCACACGAGTACTTTGAGTACTCACGCTGGAAAGTCGTACTCGCTTGATGAGTATTTTCACTAGGGATTCATTTTATTAGATACCTTACCTCATGTATTGTATTTTTCTTTTCGATTCTCTGAAAACTACATTTTTTCTCTTGCTGAAAAGAACCAAAAAAAAAAGCTGAGGACATCGTCTGTATCATTTTATTTCTCATAAAGCATATGAATGACATATTGATAAAATGAATGAAACAAGAATAAAGATTATTTTGGTTTTTATAAAGGCAACAATTAATGAATTGCTCAATTGTAGTTATATAACTGTTCTTCCTTCATTAATTGTTAAGATTCATAAAGAAATAATATTCAAACTATATGCTTTATAAATGTGAATAAATACTATTTTAAAATATATTAGAATAACAATGCATCAATGCAAACATATATCACTAGAACGATTTGTGTTACAAATGTATATCGATTGAAAGCATAGTATGAAACATACTTTAATCGATGTATTTTTCTAATTAAAATTAGTAAGCATATTAAAGACATGAAGTCTGATTATCGTTTCATAAATGCAAGTGTCTTTCTCAGATAAAAAGCATTACTCAGGACAACATTAAAAGTTACAAAGTAATTTTTATTGCTGTCATTAGTTTTTTTTCCTTTATTTTTGTCTGTACGATGAAATATGTAAACACAGTGATATTGAAGAAATGTAATATTACATTGGCTTTTTTTTTACTTTTCGTGGATGTGTGATGGCATCTTATCACTATAGAAATAACATTTTTTTTTCGAAGCTCTTGGTTTTGAAAATGTTTAGGATGAAAAATTGAAAAGATTGCTAAGAAAATAGAGCAAAGTTATTCAAGGAAGTTGAATTTGCAAAAGGAAAGTCATAAACTTCTCACACTTACAATGTGACTATCAAAAGAAATAGTTTTGTCTACTACCACTTAAATACATTAACTGATATTTATCTGTTTTTTCTTAAATCTGCATTTATACGTAAAGTTGCACTACAGTTTTGTAGAAGTATATCAAAATGAAATTTAATTAAAATAAAACTGACATCATCCATTTCATGCAATCATAGTACATCAAGTAGTATATTTTTTAATATACTTCAATTTTTTTTACTTCGATTTCTCTTTTTCACAAAAAGAAATTTTAAATTAATCTATTTTTCGTCTCCTATTATGCTGATCTATGTAATCTTCTTTTAATCTAACTTCGCTAAAACATCAACAAATACAGTTCAACCATCGAGTGGAGCTATGTATTTGAATGTATTCATTTTTAATTTACTATTTCTATATGAATTAAAAAATCTTATGTTTTTGCAATTTTGATTACTACATACTTATATTTTCAAAAAAAAAATAATAATAAATATTATATTTAAACTCGGCATCAAAAACTGAGTCGACTGGTGTACGTTTTATTTTAATTAAATTTCATTTTCATACATATATTTAACTTCTATGAAAAAATAGTACCACTTTACATGTATATATCGCAATATGGAGTGAACAGTGTTTATTCACTTATACATAAATCGATCGAGAAGTCAAGTTATTAAATGTTTTGCGAAGATGAAATTTTGCTCGACAGAATTAGGTCCTTCTATACCAATAACAAAACAAGATGAGACAATAGCGTAAAGATGTACTATATAATCCGAGGAGAAAATGCACTGGAAAAATGTTTTCCCAGTAAGTATGGATGTTACATGAAGTGAAAAGAAGCCCAAAATAACTATAAAAGTTATTGAGAAATAGAACAGTACAATATCTATATCTGTTTTCTCGGTTCTGCCTTTTTCCTATCCTTCTCTTATTTTCCCTCGATGCTTTGATTCTTATTTTAGAGCATACGGTACGACTGTATTCTCATATAATCATAGACAGTTTGACTTCAGAATGCACTGATGATGTATTCATGTTATCGAGATATTGAGAATTCTTCAAAGATCAAATATATCTTTCTGTATAAAAAACTAATGTAGTTTTCAGAAATTTTTTTTAGAATGAGTATTTGGTGGATATTTTTAATTCTTACTGCTAAAACTATTGCTGAAAAATCAATATCTGAATTATCAAACAATGTTGGTAACTTTCAGGTAAGATTAAACTTAAAGAAACACTGGTCTCTTCATATCCGACTAGCATTACTCTGGAAAATTGGTTTTAACTCTTTCAACGACAATTTGTTTTCTTGTTTAGAATCATTTTTTCAAAAATTCTGCTTTCGGATAACGTCGAGACTGCAGATCTGATTTTTTTCTCAAAGTATTAAATATTGAGTTTTTAAAAATGATAACCAATTTTGTAGGTGAACTCTACAAAAGTACATTTTGGAAGCAAAAAAGTTAATAATCTCTATATCTATGAAACTGTTGAAAAACAGAAAGGTAAATATATTATTATATTTGCTAATATCGAGCTCAATATATATGCAATAAGATGATCACACCTGTTAGTAGATAATTGTTCAGAGTGAGGACGATATGATTAAATATTGAAAACTGGAATGAAGTTTTCAGGCGAAGTTAGACAATAGTTTTGTAGTAGCCTTTATGTAATATTTATAGATCAAAGAAACCACTTTAGCATTATTCAATCAACCTAAAGTGAAAGATGGTAAATAAGAAAATAAATATCATAAACGAGTGATTTTCTACAATCCATTCTGCTTATTCTTCGATTCGTTCGGTATACTAATGCATGTTATCTGTTTGAGAGAAAATTCTTATACTGATTTATCAATTAATATGAAAGAGCGAATATGATCATGCATTTTTTGAGAAAATTTTTCTGAAAATTTTTGATTGAAATTGTATGATATTAAAGTATAATATAAATAAACATATAGGTGGAAATGATTTCTAATGAATTATAGTAAATTATTAACAAATGAACGTTTGTAAATATATTTGCTAAAGGATTTTTGTTAGATTTCTTATAACTGAGATTATTTGTCAATGCAGCACAACATTTTGAGCAAACAACTGAAAGAGACAGCCAATTCTATGAAAAAACGAGCGAGTGTTCACCAAAATAGAATTAATGTTTATATTTGATTAGTTTTCTCTGCCATAAATAATGAGCGTCAATAACAGACTTTATCATTGATAATATTTACTTCAATGTAATTCACTAGTGAATTGTACTTGGCCTTATGTTTTAACACCATCTGGAAATTGTGTCAACGTGTTAATTGATCGAAACAATTGTGGTAAAGTTGGTAACAAATGTGCTGCTAGTTATATTAGCTGCTCTGGTGGTAACTGTAGTATAGCACCTGCTGTTCAACTAAATGAACCAAAGATCGTTTGGCTAGGTGCTTTAAATGGGTTAGCAGTACTTAAATATATTAATGTTACTCTACCGTTGAATATCACGCTATACAATACGACAACAAATCATATTACTGTAACAACAAGCGGAGTAAGTCTCTTGCCTTAAATTCATCTTCAATAAAAAAAAACGAACAGTTTAGAAACGAATATGTTTATGATGGTGATGGTGTTTGAAGAATTGTAGTTTGCATAGAATATTCCATAGATGAATATAGTGCTAGAATCTTTATTCGTTTCTTTCAGCTTTGAATTGATAAAGACGTTTCAAGAATACGTTGTTAGTATTGTCGAACAATGTTTCGAACTAATAGAGAGAATTAAGAAAAAAAACACTTTCTCAAACTCATCAGAATTTATCAATATAATTTGAAATCATTCTCATCGTATTAATAAAGTTTTCAATTACGGAATTTCAACCTACATGTTACATTACGTTTACTAAAGAAAAAAAGTTTGATTGAAGTATGTAGTAGAGTAAGGAATAATTAATGAAATATACAGATATATATATATATATATAACTCAAGCTAATCCACAAATATTTAAATTTATGATCATACTATACTGAGATCCACACGAGATATCATTTTCTCTTCAATAGGTGTTATGTCTTGGAACATGTTCTCTTAACGACGATACTACTACAGTTTTGCCCACTGCCGAATTCCGTGGCGCAACAGCTTTTCCATATTTTGACTTCCTCTTTATTAATAACGGAACGTCCGAAGGAATTTATTATACTATCCATGGCAATCCTCCTAATCGGACTGTCATCTTTGAATATTATTTAGCTCCTTATGTATCAGCAAATGAATACTGTCATTTTCAAGTATCATTTTTTGAAGCTAATCCAGGTATTACTCATTTCCACTATTTCGATGTGTATAAGGATGGAAAAACTGCTATTGTTGGTGTACAAGGTAAAAACATGTTACCATACATAAATCCTTCTT